CCTTTACATCCTTTGTTAGTTGTATTCTTAGGTATTTTATTCTCTTTGTAGGAATTGTGAATGGCAGTTCATTCTTGATTTGGCTCTCTTTAAGTCTGTTACTGGTATATAGGAATGCTTGTGATTTCTGCACATTGATTTTGTATCCTGAGACTGCTGAAGTTGCTTATCAGTTTCAGGAGATTTTGGGCTGAGACAATGGGGTCTTCTAAATATACAATCATGTCATCTGCAAATAGAGACAATTTGACTTCCTCCTTTCCTAATTGAATACCGTTTATTTATTTTTCTTGCCTGTTTGCTATGGCTAGAACTTCCAATACTATATTGAATAGGAGTGGTGAGAGAGGGCATCTTTGTCTTGTGCCAGATTTCAAAGGGAATGCTTCCAGTTTTTGCCCATTCAGTATGATATTGGCTGCAGATTTGTCATAAATAGCTTTTATTATTTTGAGATACATTCCATAGATATTTAGTTTATTGAGAGGTTTTAGCATAAAGGACTGTTTAATTTTGTTGAAGGCCTTCTCTGCATCTATTGAGATAATCATGTGGTTTTTGTCTTTGGTTCTGTTTATGTGGTGGATTATGTTTATAGACTTGTGCATGTTGAACCAGCATTGCATCCCCAGAATGCAACCTACATGATCATGATGGATAAGCTTTTTGATGTGCTGTTCCAATCAGTTGGCCAGTATTTTATCGAAGATTTTTGCATCTCTGTTCATCATGGATATTGGCCTGAAGTTTTCTTTTTTTGTTGAGTCTCTGTGAGGTTTTGGTATCAGGATGATGTTGGTCTCATAAAATGATTTGGGAAGGATTCCCTCTTGTTGTATTGTTTGGAATAGTTTCAGAAGGAATGGTACCAGCTCCTCTTTGTATGCCTGGTAGAATTCGGCTGTGAACCCATCTGGACCTGGACTTTTTTTGGTTGGTAGGCTAGTAATTGCTGCCTCAACTTCATCCCTTGTTATTGTTCTATTCAGGGTTTTGACTTCTTCCTGGTTTAGTCTTGGGAGCGTGTATGTGGTTATATATTTAGGCTCATTAGCTCTTGTTGCCTTGATCCTTTTACCATTATGTAATACCCTTCTTTGTCTCCTTTGATCTTTGTGGGTTTAAAGTCTATTTTATCAGATATTAGGATTGCAACTCCTGCTTTTTTTTGCTCTCCATTTGCTTGGTAAATATTCCTCCATCCCTTTATTTTCAGCCTATGTATGTCCTTGCATGTGAGGTGGGTTTCCTGGATATAGCATACTGATGACTTTTTACTTTTTATCCAATTTGCCAGTCTGTGGTTTTTGATTGGGGCATTTAGCCCATTTACATTTAAGGTTAATATTGTTATGTGTGAGTTTGATTCTGCCATTTTGATGCTAGCTGGTTGTTTTGCCCATTAGTTGATGCAGTTTCTTCATTGTGTTGATGTTGTTTACCATTTGGCATGTTTTTGGAGTGGCTGGTACTGGTTGTTCCTTTCTATGTTTAGCGCTGCTTTCAGGAGCTCTTATAAGGCAGGCCTGGTGGTGACAAAATCTCTCAGCAATTGCTTATTCATAAAGGATTTTCTTTCTCCTTCGCTTATGAAGCTTAGTTTGGCTGGATATGAAATTCTGGGTTGAAAGTTCTTTTCTTTAAGGATGTTGAATATTGGCCTCCACTCTTTTCTGGCTTTCAGGGTTTCTGCTGAGAGATCTGCTGTGAGTCTGATGGGCTTCCCTTTCTGGGTAACCCGACCTTTCTCTCTGGCTGCCTTTAGTGTTTCTTTCTTCATTCCAGCCCTGGTAATCTGATTATTATGTACCTTTGGGTTGTTCTTCTTGAGGAATATCTTTATGGTGTTTTCTGTATTTCCTGGACTTGAATGGTGGCCTGGCTTGCTACCTTGGGGAAGTTCTGCTGGATAATATCCTGAAGAGTGTTTTCCAGCTTGGATTCATTCTCTCCATCACATTCAGATAAATCTGTCAAATGTAGATTAGGTCTTTTCACATAGTCCCATATTTCTTGGAAGCTTTGTTCATTTCTTTTCACTCTTTTTTCTCTAATCTTGCCTTCTCATTGTATTTCATTGAGTTGATCTTCAATCTCTGATATCCTTTCTTCTGCTTGGTCGATTCAGCTATTGAAACTTGTGTACACGAAGTTCTCATGTTGTGTTTTTCAACTCCATTAAGTCCTTTATGTTCTTCTCTAAGCTGATTATTCTCATTAACATTTTGTCAAATCTTTTTTCAACGTTCTTAGTTTCTTTGCATTGGGTTAGAGCATGTTCTTTTAGCTCAGAGAAGTTTGTTATTACCCACCTTCTGAAGCCTGTTTCTGTCAATTCATCAGATTCATTCTCCATCCATCTCTGATCCCTAGCTGGTGAGGAGTTGGGACCCCTTACAGAAGGAGAGGCATTCTGGTTTTGGGTGTTTTCATCCTTTTTGTGCTGGTTTCTTCCCATCTTTGTGTATTTATCTACATGTGGTCTTTGTAGTTGGTGACTTTCAGATGGGGTCTCTGAGTGGACGTCCATTTTGTTGATGCTGAAGTTATTTCTGTTTCTTAGTTTTCCTTCTAACAGTCAGGCTCCTCTGCTATAGGACTGCTGAGGTCCACTCCAGACCCTGCTTCCCTGGGGATCATGTGTGGCAGCTGCAGAACTGTAAGGGTTGCTGCCAGTTTCTTCTTCTGTTGTCTTCATCCCATTAGGATACCTGCCGGATGTCAGCCTGAGCTCTTCTTTATGAGGTGACTCTTTGGATATACAGGGGTCAGGGATCTGCTTGAGGAGACAGTCTTTCCCTTATAGGACCTGAAGTGCTGAGCTGTGAGCTCTGTTGTTCTGTTCAGAGCTGCTGGGCAGGTACCTTTAAGTCTGTTGCAGTGGGACTCATAACCACCTTTTTTCCCTGGTGCTCTGTTCTGGGAAGTAGGGACTTTATTTATAAGTTCCTGACATGCTGCTGCCTTTTTTCAGAGCTGCCCTGCCCAGCAAGGAGGTAGCCTACTCACAGTTTGGCAGCAGAGGCATTGTTGAGCTGCCGTTGGCTCTGTCCAGCTGCTATGTGAACTTCCTTGTGGTTTTGTGGCTTGGTAATGGTAGTCTGCCTCAGTAATGGCAGACTGCCTCAGTAATGCCAGACTGCCTCAGTAGGGGCAGACTGCCTTGTTAATGGCAGATGCCCTTCCTGGGTCCAGCTGCGATTGCTGTGAAACTCTTAATCTACAAAGTTTCAGATTGCTGGTCTTTGTGCAGATGGAACCTGCCAAGCCAGTTCACCTGCCTCCCTGTTCCAGCCCTTTTTTTCAGTCGAATGGATGGCTCTGTCTCCCAGGCATTCCAGGCACCAGTTGAAATGGCTGCCCAGATTTGTGTGAGTTTTTGTGTGAAGACCCACTGCGCCAGCTGAAACAGCTGTGCTTGAGACTCATGGTGCTTTTTAGGCCGGGAATATCCTGGTCTTTGGTCAGTAATAACTCATTTGCAAATGTGGTGCTTACTCACCCTCTGTGTTGTTCTCACTGGGAACTGCACTACAGAGCTGTTTATATTTGACCATCTTGGATCAACTCCTTTTTTTTTTGGACAGAGTCTCACTTAAGTCGCCCAGGCTTTGGTGCAATGGCATATCTTGGCTCACTGCAACCTCCACCTCCCAGGTTCAAGCAATTCTCCTGCCTCAGCCTCCTGAGTAACTGGGACAACAGGCATGCACCACCATGCCTGGCTAATTTTTTTGTATTTTTAGTAGAGACAGGCTTTCACCATGTAGACCAGGCTGGTCTTGAACTGCCGACCTGAAATAATGCACCCACCTTGGCCTTCTAAAGTGCTGGGATTACAGGCATGAGCCACTGCACTGATACTTTTGACTCTTTTATGGGCTACATTAATCCATTTAATAGAGAACTGGATAAGGGCTAAAGAAGATCAGTAAACCTGATTCACATGTGTGTGTCCCAAGACTAGAAAAAACCTTTTTCAGAAGAAGAAGAGAGTACTAACCCGAAAAGATGTTAGGAGGGCAGTGAAGTTCCTCTCCCCACCTGTCTCCTGTCTCCCCCAACCATTACCTTTTCTCACTTTATTATTAATACTAGAAATAGTATTAAAAAGCCATAATCGTTTCTATAGGCCTAAAATTTTACATATAAAATTTTGGAGAAATCTTGCATTAAATACCCCTAGGAGAGATAATACATTGACTTCAAGTTATGTCAGTTTACAGTAGAAGGTAAGAGAAGATGAAAAATAGCTTTGTGACGTTCAGAGGTGGTAAGGGAGGAAGAAGTGTTATGAAAAAAATACAATATAGGTGGTGGGGATGGGGAGAACTTCATGCATTTGACGACTTTACCCTTAATGACACATGCTAAGGGTCAGGTCATAATTCTAGGTCTCCAACTTCCAGTTTCAGCAAGTTTTTTACATAAGGTAAATAAATGTGATTTACAGAAGTTATCTTTTTGTAAAACCCAGCCTAATTCCTTTGTAACCGTTTATTCCCAAGCTCTGAATGTTTCTCTCAATATATGGGTCAGGTCTTTAAAATATAACCTGATTTCCAATCGTGAGTGAGAACCTATTTATTTTTTTTTCTGTTTTTTTGAGACAGAGTCTGGCTCTGTTGCCCAGGCCGAAGTGCAGTGCCAGGATCACCATGCTTTGTAGCCTCAACCTTCTGGGCTCAAGTGATCCTCACTTCCCAGCCTCCTGAGTAGCTGGGACCATAGGCTCATGCCACAAAGCCCGGCAACATTTTAAATTTTTTGTAGAGATCGGGTCTCACTATGTTACCCAGGCTGGTCTTGAACTCATGGCCTCAAGGAAGCCTCCTGCTTCAGCCTTCCAAAGTACTGGGATTACAGGCATGAGTCACTGCACTGGCCTGATTTTCTGTTCTTTGAGTTAATCTCTGAATTTCTTGACTAAGTCATGTAAAATTAATACCAAAGGTAAATCCTTAAGGATGTAAGTAAAAAATACTTTCTTTCTTTTCCAGAGTTAATAATGGACCTAAAAAATCTTGATTTAAATCCGAAGACAATGTAGATATTGAAGGGCTCAAAAGGTAAGAATGACATATTAGTCTCACATTCTTTACTCCATATTAAATTGTCCCATTAAAATGCCTTGCTAATGTGGACATTATTTGACAGTTCAGCCACCTCCGCACACCATGAAGCAGCTGTACAAAGGTCAGGCACAGGAGGGCAAGGAGGGCAATGTGAAAAGAAACAGAAAGCCATGCCATAGCTCTTAGAACTTTCAGCCAGTCACGGTCACAACTCGGATAACATGATGAAATTTCTCGACGGATACTGTCTCCCACCTTTTTAAAAAAACAGCCATGAAATGACATCTCTCTGATGTGATAGGCTCAAGCAGTTTTCAAGGAAAATCCCTTATATTAAATGTTTGAGCAACAGTTGAAGCAAAAAGATATAGAATAGAAACACCTCATTCTCAAGAGCAAGCTTCTGATTTTTCATAAACTGTTGCTTCAAACTTCTGGTTTTTTTTTTTTTTTTTTTTATTTCCCTTTCTTTTCCTGAAAGTACTTTTAGGCACATTTTGAAGTGCTGGTGCATGGCCTTTTTTTTTTTTAAGAGCCTTCTTTGCATTTTCTGACTGAGCTTTGCATATTTTGTCTGCACCCTTGCAAATAACTGCTTTGAAGAACATGGTCTTGGGGCTTCGTCCCCTTCTTTGCCTCCTGCCAGACACATTGAGTCATTCATTCCATCTTTAAACCTGCCCTTCCAACTGAGTCTTTTCGGATGGGACCTATTTCCACCTCCTCCTTCACATTCCTCTTCAGTGGTTGACTGAGACTGGGAAAATAGGCGTACAAAGCATTTTGCATTCTCTGAATGTACCACATAGTAATTCTGCTGTCTGAAAACTCTGTAATGTCAATAATTGATGCACTTGAGAAGTGGTAATTAAATTAGTTAATTATGCTGGTAAAATTACATGCAATTATGTGACTGCAGGGTATGTTTAGTAAATTAGGCTTTCCCATACTCACTACATATTGTGGTGCCAATTTTGTTCCTTGATGATTAGGTAGCTTTTGATACTTCTTAATTGATTTAATACCTGGATCTTCATTAGCCCTTGATTGCTATGCTATGTATGTCTGACATTTTTTCTCTCTGATATTTTACTGAGATCGTACATCAGGGGAACTATATGTACATGTTTGTGAATCATACATACATCTCTGTGAATTGACTCACTTATTTTTTGTTTCAAATATTTAGATGTTAAAATATCACCTCCCCCTCTCACCTTCTGGGAAATAGCAAATCCTAAATGTTGACTCATATAGAATCCGAGAACTTAACTCTTCTTGGATACTCTAAAAAAGAAAAGTGTCATGTTTATTTTGCTTCTGAAAAATTAATACCAATAGTACTAGGCAGTAATTGAAGGAAGCAAAGAAATCAGACATTTTAAGGAAGTTACTCATTTCACGTCTTTAAATAAGAGGCAGTAATCTTTAAATAAGATACTTATTGATGAGAGCTAACTGAAAGTTTATAAATGACAGAAATTGAAAAGCTGTTATATAATACATAGAGATTTATAGCCCCTTATGGGCCTCTCAGGAGCATTAGAAAGCCTTCATGGGTTAATGAGACTGGTAGGAAAAACCATTATTCTCGTGGATGGAGCTTGTGGTTGGAGTTTCTTGGTTCAAGATTTAGAATCCAGAGCTGGAAGGAAGCCTGGGAATTGCTTGTTCCCTTTATGTAATAGATAAAGAAATAAGGATCCCATTGAATGTTTTATAGATAGATGTTTTCACAGCAAAGTAGTGACTAGGCTGGGTCTGGAATTTAAGTCTTCTGCCCCTCTGGCCAGTAGCAATATACTATACAATATTATGGCTGTTTTTTATTTTGTCCATTTCCTCTCAGTTACCCACTGTAAACCTCTGAGTGACTTTTATTCATACAGGGACTAGACATATTTTTAAAAGGGCTCTTTCTTTGACTCTAAGCTGAGTATCAGGAGGCAACTTGAATTCTTTAGAAGAAAGTATATCAGCTGTAATCATCTGTATTCAAGAACTTGATACTTAGTCTTGTTTGTTGTTTGTTTGTTTCCTGAGAAGTCAGAGCAATAGTCAGCATCTGCAACTTCTCCTGTATTGTATATCCCACTCTTAATGTGAACAGTGATGTGTTCTGGTATGGAGGAGGTTTCTGGAGAGGAAAGTAGCTTTGTCAGTGTTGGAATAAATTAAAGAGGCTGGCCACTACGTGGGGCTCTGTCCTTCCTCTGAGGCCAGGGAAATGGACAACCAGGCCCCCTTCCTTTTGCAAAACCTCTGCTGGTGCAGAGGTTTCATAATCTTTAGAAAGCTATACCTCCGAATGGATAAGCGAAGAACACTCTGTACATTTATTGCAGGCTTTTGTGTTTGTGCTTTAATTATCAGGTAAATAAAAAAGAATACCAGAGATAAATGATAACCGTAACGTTCATTTATACAATGCTGTACACTTTCCTCAGTATTTTCACACCTTTTATCTTGGTTGGTTTTTACATCCACCCTGTGGTGACAGAGAACAAGAATTATTTCCCTTTCATAGATTCTTTTTAATCTAACCCAGAAATTTGGCAAGATTTGAATAGCGAACAGTGCAGAATTATTCAACCTGATAAGTAAAGACAAGTGATATGTAGTTCTTCTTGTGCCTTATGTATTCAAATTTTTAACAAAACTGGTCTTTGATCTTCTTCAAAAAGCTTTTTCTAAGTCCCCCTGGGTTGGAGTAAGTACTCTCATAATACCTGACTATATCCCAATCACTGCATTTGTTCTTTGCTTTATGTTTGTCTGGTCACATAATCACATATGACATCAGATAATGAAATCCTTGATGGGAGATGTTCTTTCCTATTATTAAACATTAGCTCAATGACTGACATCTGGTAGATGCTCAGTCCCTAGTTGTTGAATGAATGAATTAGTGTATATTGGCCTAGAAAAATCAACATTCTTCTATCATCAGGTAAGATTTAAACTCCAGTTGTTTCTATGCTTTCTCCTTCATACAGGTGCACTTATCTATCATTAGGACTATTGAGAGTGTTTTTACTATGATTATTATTATCACATGCTTTAGACATTTGAGTAAATTCTCTTTTTTTTTGAGATGGAGCCTCACTCTGTCACCCAGGGTGGAGTGCAGTGGCGCGATCTCAGCTCACTGCAACCTCCCGCTTTCCGGATTCCAGCAATTCTCCTGTCTCAGCCTTCTGAGCAGCTGGGATTACAGGCATATGCCACCACACCCGGCTAATTTTTGTATTTTTAGTAGAGATGGGGTTTTACCATGTGGGCTAGGCTGGTCTCGAACTCCTGTCTTGAGGTGATCCTCCCACCTTGGCCTCCCAAAGTGCTGGGATTACAGGCACGAGTCACCGTGCCTGTTTTTTAAAGTTAATAAATAATTGAATATGAATGAAAATGTTCTTGGTCATTAGGGCGATGATTTTTATTGTATTAATTTCCAATTGACTTTTACCCTTGGTTCTATCCGCTGCAGCGGTGTATGACTTTAAATGTAATTACAAAACGTCTTTTAGTCTCACGTAAAGCATTAGTTTGTAACACTGGTTGTATTTAAAAGCCTTTTCTCATGCCTTGTAAGAATAACATATGTGAATAGGTTTTAGTATTTTTCATATAAATTAGTATGCAAACAGCTGGAAAACAAGTCAAACAAAGACATCTTTGCTAAATCTTACAGGTAGTGTAATGACTGGGGAAAAGAAGGAGGAATCATGGGAAAGAAAGGAGTACACTGGGGAATTAGAGGAGGCTCTAGTGGAGTATTGGTGGAAACCCTGCTGCTTCCCGTTAGCCCTGCCAAGAAGCAGGCAATAACACCACCTGTCTGCTTGGCAGCCACAGGTACCTCCACATGGTTCATGTTTTTCTCCTCTCCAGATTTTAAGATTTAGATTGGAGACCCAACTAGTTAAATCAGCAGGTGAGATAAAATGTTGTGAAGCAGAAAACCGCTCTCAGCCTTGCCGTATGGGGAAAGGGAGAGGCGACCTGGAGCTCTCTTCAGACACCTTTGAGAGTTTTGTAAGGGCTTCTTGTCTAAACCCTTTCCTTGGCCTCTGGGCTTCAACAAAGCCAGCAAGCTATCCTGTAAGCTGGCGTGCTGCCATTGTAACAGATGGCCAGGAGTGTAGGCAGCAAAGATACCATGCGAGAGCATTACAAGGGAGTGCTGAGGGTGAGAGCTCTAGGCACAAGCCTGGAGTCCCCGTCTGTCCATTAGCCAACCCTGAGCTCCTGAGCAAAGCGGGCATAGGGAATGTTTCGGCCTGCATCTTTGGCTATTATGTACTTCAGGCAGAAATGCCAGCCTTGTTTTCTGTATGTTTTACTATTAGGGTTTCCACTCCACCTCTGATGTGTGTGGGTGTATAAGAGATCTTAAGAGGGTGATAAAAAAGATAGGAATATTCTAAATAAAACCATGAGTGTTTCTAGTTTGCTCACTTGGTCCAGTTCATTCTGCATACTCCTGCTGCGTTAATCTTCTAAGGACAGCTTTGATTCTGTCTCCTTTTCCCCTAAACTTTTGATGCTAGTGATGATGATGATGGCATTGATTATGATGGTGGAGTGGCTTCTCTTTGTTAACTACCTATTACTTTGTAATTTCTTATTTCATAGACAACCAGGACTCAGAAACCAACTTCCTACAAAAGCCCTATGACTCATCCATGCCAGAATTGATATCTGAATTTATTGTGTCTGACTGTAGAAAGAGCCTTAACAAATATGCTCTGATTTGCAAATATAAACAAACGTATTTGCCAGAGATTCGTGGTTGTCATCAGTATACAATTTGAAAAAGTAAAATCTTTTAATTTAACTCAAACTTTAGTTTAACTAAAAGTTTAATATTTTAGTTTTGAAATGTTTCTTTGTAATTTCTTTTTTGAGACAGAGTTTTACTCTGTCACCCAGGCTGGAGTCGTGCGATCCTGAGTAGCTGGGATTACAGATGTGCACCACCACGCTCAGCTAAG